GTGACTGGCGAAGGTAGTAATAATGCAAAATAAATAAAAGTGTAAATAGCTTCAAATAGCAGCCTAAATAGTGTGGTGGCGTGGCGCCTTGGGAGTCGCTGAGCTATGGTGGCTGGGGGCCTATGCCTGTGGGCCGTGGCCCGTGCCTATAAGGCCCGTGCTTGGCTGCCTGGGTGAAAACCCTGCACGAGGGTTCCGGTGCAACGCACCAATCCCCTCCTTGTATTCCTCACTTTATCAACCTCGCGTTTATTGCAGCCCCGTCTCTCTGCCGTGGTCGATCCCTAACAATGTACAGACTAATAGTGTTACGGAATCACGGGAAACAAAGAGACAAGCTGCGATAGTTAACACATGAAAAGCGACTATCTAAAAGTAGTGTTAAAAAGTGACGAAGGTGCGAAGCACCGCCGTCGCGTCACAGTTTTCTGCTTGCGATTCGGGGGTCACGTGGTCCTCCCGCTCCAGAGTGGAGCAGCCGCCTGCAAGGCGCGCCACTCCATAATAAATAGGATCTCTGCCTCTGCCCCCAGCCAAGGACGCCGATTGACATCAACTTTCCAGTTTCTCTAGAGCGCTACCGTCTCTTCAGGATCGGCACCAGATATGTCTAAATCGTTTGCACATTATAGCTGCGCGTCGCGGCGCAAAAGGGACACGGCACATGGCTTTTAGGGGTCCTTTTAAAAGGTTAGGCACGGTGGGGATGGAGGAAGGAACCAGGGGCAGATGGTGGGTGGCGCAAGCGGTGAACCCCTAACTAGGAGGGGCGGGAAAGACAGCACGGCACCAGACGGCATCGCGCAGCAAACAGCTTGCTTGCAAGCAGTTGGCAAGTTTTGTCGCTCCGTCGTAGCGGGCCGTAATAGCAGCCGCGTCCCCGGTCAAATGGGCAATCCGTAGCGACGAGGCGTTTGAGGGGCCACGGGGGCTCATCATCATTCGGAATGCCAACGTTCGGGAATGTTGGGAATACTCGCACGGAGTATCTGCAGTACTTGGACCGAGCCAATACAACACTGGTGCCGCGGGCCCGCAAGACGTACCCAAATGCCCAAAGAACAGCCACGGCCTCCGCTCCTGGGAAGACAAGAACAAAGAGACCATGTCTTTTTCGAACAAGAGTTCCTCATACAACAAGGGCGGCCCTGACAAGCCGAAGAGCGGCCCTTCTGACAAGCGCAATGAGGGCGGCTCATTTTCTGACAAGGCATCTCCTGACAAGTACAAGGGCTTTAACAAGTACAAAAGCTCCGACAAGTACAAGGACAAGGAGCGAGATCACAATGTTCATGAGGGCTCCCCTGACGAGCGTCGGGACGCCAATCCAGACGAAGCGTTTGCTGACCGAAGCGTTTGCTGACCGAAGCGTCTCCAGTGACGATAAGTATCGCGAGGAGCTTACATTGTGTCACGCAAGGCGTGCCCTGACCTGGAAAACCGCACTTGCAAGCGCTGCGACATCCTGGTTCACTCCCGCAACATGCTTTATGCACACGCTGTCTTTTGTGACGCGCTAGCTGATCATGTCGACCACGTCGCTGATAAGGAACCTCGTCACTATATTGAGAATGACCTGGTGATAGGCCAAGTCACCACCGCAACTGATGACGCTGTGCTGGGTGGATATAGCTATGCAAAGATGCGCATTCGCCCAACGATCACCGTTCTCATGGATCACGACTCCACTCGTGGCATCGTAAATAAAACGACCCTTAACACCGTTTCGACAGACCGAGCCAACAGACGTCTCATCAATGCATCCATCTACCTCAGCGTCTACCCGCTCGACGTTCACCATCTGCCAGGCCGTCTCAACCTGGTCCTGACGCCCTTTCCCGACTCGCCGCGACAACAGACGACGAGGCTCAGCGTGCCTTTCGGGAGGAACCCGTCCTCAATGCCTTCTGGGACAGAGATGCGATAGGTAACGGCATGCCGACACAGGACGTGGACACGGACCGTGTTCTTAACATAGCAGAGGCAGTCATGGATGGCAAAATAAGAAACGAGCTCATCCAGGCCTACGGACAAGATACAGTATATGGTCGGCTGATCCGAGAGCTCGCCACAGTCAATGGATGCAAGCCCCGAAAGGACAACGAGGGCGTCGTCAATGCTTCCAAGCCGGGCCATACCTTTAGAGTGGCAAACGGTCTTTTGTACAACAGAGACAGTGAGGGTACAGAGCGACTCGTTGTGCCCTTTGGCATGATCAAACCTTCCTGGCGGAAGCACACGACAACAAACACCACTTTGGCTGACAGCGCATAACTACAGGTCTAGATGGAGTCCACTTTAGAAATAAGAGGTCTGCCCCTTGCCAAGGCCACGG